CCATCCTCTCTAGCGAGGAAATTGCCGAAAAAACGAACGCTTTGAACGGAAAGAATGGAAAGCCTTCGGTAAACACGCGGCCAAGCCGCCGAGACATGTCGCCTTCGCCTGTCTCCCCCTCGCCATCGTCACCTTCTTCACCTTCGCTCGATGCCGCGACGCTAGCGTCCCCGACTGGTGAACCCCAACCTCCCCCGTCGCCAGTTCACGGTGCTACCACGGGCCGCCACGATGTCCGCGCGGCTCAGGAAAGTGGAGAGGTCGACCATATTTCCGACCAACCGCCCTCTGGTGGTGGCGGCGCCAACCCCAACCAACAGCCCGGCCAGTCTATCCTTGTGAAGCGCGAGAACACCATCAACCCGGTCTACGACACCCCGACCCAGGACCCTCAGAATGAGCAGTCAGTTTCCGGTGTCGCCATGAGCGACATCAAGGATATCGATCTCGATGATTTCATTAAGCGACTCCTGGATGCCGCATATGCTGGAAAGGTTACCAAGAGCGTCTGCCTCAAGAATGCCGAGATTGTGGCCATTTGCCACCGCGCTCGGGAGTTATTCCTTTCCCAGCCGGCCCTCCTGGAACTGGATGCGCCCGTCAAGATTGTCGGCGATGTCCATGGCCAGTACACTGATTTGATTCGCATGTTCGAGATGTGCGGTTTCCCTCCGCACTCCAACTACTTGTTCCTTGGCGACTACGTCGATCGTGGAAAGCAGTCTCTCGAGACCATTCTGCTTTTGATGTGCTATAAGCTCAAGTACCCCGAGAATTTCTTCCTGCTCCGCGGCAACCACGAATGCGCCAACGTTACCAGGGTCTACGGTTTCTACGATGAGTGCAAGCGCAGGTGCAATGTCAAGATCTGGAAGACTTTCGTCGACACCTTCAACTGTCTCCCTATTGCTGCTATTGTTGCCGGTAAGATCTTTTGCGTTCACGGCGGTCTTTCGCCTGCTCTTGGCCACATGGACGATATCCGCAATATTGCTCGTCCCACCGATGTTCCCGACTACGGACTGCTCAACGATCTCCTCTGGTCTGATCCAGCCGACATGGATCAAGACTGGGAAGCGAACGAACGAGGTGTCAGTTACTGTTTCGGAAAGAAGGTCATATCGGACTTCCTCGCCACTCACGACTTCGATCTGGTTTGCCGTGCGCACATGGTTGTTGAGGACGGTTATGAATTCTACACTGATCGCGTTCTTGTCACTATTTTCAGTGCTCCTAACGTAAGTTGTATCCCCTTTGAAGTTTGATGTAACATTCACTAACTTTGTACCAGTACTGCGGCGAGTTTGATAACTGGGGAGCTGTCATGGCTGTTTCTACCGAGCTTCTGTGCAGCTTCGAACTGCTCAAGCCACTTGACTCGGCTGCTCTCAAGACGCATATCAAGAAGGGTAGACACCGTCGCAACAACATGCTCAACAGTCCTGTAAGTTTACCCAAATATTTGGTCTCATGATTGCTTTTACTAATTGTATTGCAGCCCGCCCACTTCAACCCCCAGAGTGTCTGATTGATACTCGCACTGCTTCCGCACGCTAGCCAAAGCCATGTGCCGCTCAGCTGTGCAGAAGTTTTTTTTTCCTTTCCCTCACCGGTCGACGGTTTCTCGCAAGATTGCATACCGGTCGGACGGAATTCCGATCCAGGTTCATCTGCTGTCGAGCAAATAAGCATTTGCCAAGTCTTGGGCGACGGTTCCACAACGCACAAATACGCATAACAAGTCGATAAATCGCCGCGGCCGCTCAAAAAAGAGACGTACGGACGGGGAGCACTATGCAATACATAGTCGTGTCGAGCACCGTAACACAACACGGTTCTTTTTGTTTGCGGGGTACATGGGAGAAGCCGGGACAGCCAGCCACTGAGCTGTGAGACGACGTGGACTCGCACCCGAAAGGGTTTTCCAATTGGAGTTATGCATAACGAACTACGCGATATATCTCTGCTCATATTTTGTCCGCGAAAGCGAATATCTCCGCTCCGTTCATAAATTGCGTTTTGTTTGAGAAAGCCATTGCGAAAAATAACAACCGAAGCCGAGTCAGGCTGTTACAGTCTTTCCCATAGTCTTGTCATGTTTCGGCACTGTCAATGAGAAGAGGGGGGAAGGTCGCAATGGGGTCAACTGTGTTGCTCTTGCGCTGTGCTGATATCTTGGTCACGGCTGTGGGTGACAGCCACACGAAGTCTACCCCATAAACCCTCCTTCATGGGCGAGGGCAGGGCCAGGTTGAAGGTGTTGGAAAGCCCAGGCTTGCTGTGCCGGGTTTTGTACGATGGAACATTTTTCGTTTCTGGCTTGCTTGCTTGATTTGCGTTTCGTTTCTCTCATGTCGATTTTTTGTGGTTGTCGATGCGGGAGTTCATTGGCTTTTTTCGTATCTCTCCTCTTTTTCGCATTATGATCTTGTTTTACTGTTACTTTGATGATGGGTGATTGGGTCGTTGTAGGGTTGAGCAGCCGTGAACCTTTGCACCCGGCCTCATGGAAGACAGAAGGGGCGAGATGAAGAGCTGACAGTCAGGTTGTCGACGCGGCTGTTCCTTTCTGGAAGAATACTGCGAGGAGTGGGTTGACGTACCTGCGGTCGATGGACGCGATGGATGCACGGAGATACCTGACGTGTATAATGTTGAGTCGTGGATGCGAACGACGATGCATCGCAATGTGATGGGATTGCGAGGCTAAGTAGGATTGGCGTAGCGAGTAGGATGGGATCAGAATATAAAAAGGAATTCCACTCAGTCTTTGGATGCTTTCTCTAGGAGTGCCTCGTCAAAATGTGTTTCAAGCGTGATGTGGTGGTGGTAATGAGGAATGTCGAGAACTCTCGGCCCAGGAAGTAGGGAGAGTTTGAGTACGATTACATAAGAAAGCAAAATTAACTTACTATCATCAATCTAAATAAGGTCCGCTGGCTCAATGGCAGAGCGTCTGACTACGAATCAGGAGGTTCCAGGTTCGACCCCTGGGTGGATCGATTCTTTTTGACTTTTTCGTCATTTTCGGTTTTTGTTTTCACTTTTTTGTCTCATCTCTTTATTTTGGATTGCCGTTAGACTTTATCCACATGGCTAGTTGTCTTGCTCTGCCCATTTCTTCCTTGCTTTTCTTTATTTAAATTCTTCAAAAAGCGTTTTTTCCCCCTTGAGCCAATGCGAAAATTAAGAACATGAAGATCGTTCGGTGCAGTCTTAGCAACCCATAAACAGGTTCACTGTATTATTGGGAGCTCCATCGATCTGCATGAGATCGAGTTGCCCCCTCTTAAACCAAAGGAATCTGAGGAATGAGAGAAGTTTGTTGAAAATTCAGGTCTAGTCAACCGTCACGTCCGGTCCGCGTATCCTTGACAGATGGGCGATTACTTCGGAGCAAGTTGCTGTATGCTTCATCTACGCAGCTGATGATCCTAACACGGAGAACCTGCGCCTTACTTACCTTCCTTCTTTATTTTAGTAGTGTCCGGAGAAAATGGTGTGACCTAACAATCCTTCCTGGTGGTATCACACGCACCCAAACACGCATACCAAAACCAAATTTATATCTCCCCCCTTCCCCCCTCCCCATTCCCATAGCTCTCTTCACATTACTATAAGTCCCGCCAGGAGACTGTCTGCGTCTTTTGTTTAAAGTAACTAGAGGTATATTGCACACGTATGATGATTCTCGTCCATTGCGGTCGACGATGCCGTACAGGTATATAGATAGACATGCCACGCTATGCTATCCCTTGTTCGCTGGGACTGTTCGGTAATCGTTTGCCTTGTTCGCTGGGACTGTTTGGTAATCGTTTGTACGTATATGTCTTGAGTTGATTTTATGAATGCTTTGTTTCCTTATCCTCTTATTCTTCATGGCGGATTTTGATGTCGTGATGTCTGGGAGCCTCAGAGCTGCAGTGGGAGGAGACGAGACTACCTTGGGAAGGAAGGTAGGAAGGTAGGAAGGAGGAGGAAACGGTAAATATATCGCGAGAGACATGTTGTAAATTGGCTTTGTCGAAGTTCGTCGGGGAGAGTGATAGAATGTCAGGTCTTCAACTCAGTGGAGCGGATGACCAAAGGCTGGACTATGTACTTGCTCCAGACTCTTCGTCATGTTCTTGTTATCCTCTACTAGAGTGTCTACCAGCCATGCATGACCTGATACGTAGCTCGGCATTGCTTTGTTCTTATCAACGGTGTACTTGCTACCATTGGCTGGGGATCAGCTCATTAACGGAGTTCGTCAAGATCCTTGCATCATAAACCAGTCACAACCAATGTAGTCAATATCAATTCAACGAAGAAGAACAACTCTGCCTGGTATTGGTATATCTCTAGCAAACAAATCCCGCATCCCGCATCCCGCGCTACAAAATAGAAGAAGAAGACAAAATGAGTCAAATGAGGCTAAAACCTCACAGCTACCTTGAAAGAAGCTGAAAATAAACACGACCAACTTCATTCCATCCATATAAAGCATCCATCAACCACCAGCCATCAAAGAAAACACCACCGAGGAACATAATAAGAAGAAAATGGTATTTTTCGTTTACCCGCCCGTCCTGCCAACCTGCCCCCAACGCGCCGACCAGCGTCCCGTCCGTTTTTCCCGCTTCCCAAACGACATTAGTGAAAAATAAGAAACAAATATCAGAAGGAAGAAGTAAGGGGGCCAACAACCGTAACAGAGAGAAATGAAGATGGATAAAAGAGAAAAAAAACTGAAGTGAAATAAGAACAATGTGTGTATATAGGAAGCCAGCCGATATAGATAGATCAAGAATTAGAGTTTAAGAATTTGTTGTCCATGGGTATTTCGGGCGGGGTATTTCTTCACGTCTTTTCCTTTTTCCATGTTTTTCTTTCCAACAACAAACGTCAAGCAAACCAGCGACAGACACTCAATGTTGCAGTCATAGTGGTATCTCGTCATCAGCACCATCCCTTGCGGCACCTCCGCTGCAATCAATGCACTGCTGAAAAGGCCGCAACTAGCGACGAGTGTAGACGGGGATGTTCCGACGAGGAGGAGGGGGCCCGCCGCCGTTCTGCTCCTGGGTGAGCTCGGCGACGCGGGCCTTGATGCGGGCTACGCGGGATTCGATGGCTGTTTTTCGCTTGTTAGCATTTTTTTTTTACACCTTTTGACTCGATCAGAAGTAGTGAGTGTAACTTACTCTCCTCAGTACTCGAGTACCCATCCAACTCAATCCTCGCCCTAGGCGGCTGGAGACTCTTAGCTCCATCCAGCGGCTGACCGTTGCCGTTAATCTTCTCCTCCTTCAGCCTTTGGGCAGCACGCTCAGCGGCATTCTTGCGGATCTGAGCCCAGCGGTCCTGGGGGTTGGAAGTAGCGGGGCTGAGAGGGACAGGCTCAGGGCTGTTGGGGATGGAGGAGACCGAGTCGGTGGCGGTCACCTGGGAGATGGGGCGCTCGCTCCTCGCGGGCTTCTGCTCTTGAATGTGAACAGGCGTAGGGGCAGGAACGGACATGGGGGCCGGGACGGCAGCAGCTTGCTGTTCCTCGCCGGTTTCATCCGAGGCAGAATCATCCGGAATGAAGGCGGGTTGGTCGAGTAGAGGACCTTGGTTGAACTGGCTGACGTGCTCCTGGGGCGGGGTGACTTCGGTGGAATCAACCTGGGAAGTCTCCTCAACTTCCTCCAGAGGCTGTTCGTAGGTAGGCTCAGCCTGGACAGGCTCAGTGGCGGGCGTGGCAGGCATAGGATCAGTGGCCTCCTCCCGGGGAGTGACAAACTGAGTTTCCTCACGCTGCATGGGAGGCTTCTCAGGGGTAGCCGGCTTGGGCTGCACGGGGACCGGCTTTCTAGTCTGGGCCTTTTCGTTGTTCGCAGCAAGCATGGCGTTGAGTTGATCAGGTGTACTGTCAGCAATCTTTGACGACCTCTTAGCACGGCCAAAGAGCTTTCTGAAACCACCTCCACTACTCTTGGGCTCCTTCTGAAGCTTCTTAGACTTCTTGTCATCCACGGGCTCTGGGGAGGCCATAGTTTCACGGATATAGTCGACGCTCTTGCGGACCAGGTCCATGCTCTTAGACTCCCTGGTTGGCGTAGCGAGCGGGGTTTCCCGGCTGGCATTCGACTGGCGCTCTGCAGGATGGACCTCCTGAGGTATCTCCACTACTCTCTCCGTCGCCTGGGCCTGACCCTTTCCAGAGTTGACAGTGCTTGGCGTTCCGGGGTGCTCTGGCTGTGAATCCGACCTCGGGGACTGGACAGCCATCTGAGCTGCCGACTTGGGTGGCAGTTCGGGTGCATTCTGGGAGATGTCTAGCATCGAGCTGTAGCGATGGCTGGGAGTGTAGGAAGAGTCGTTGGCACCGCGGCCTGCGTTCGAGTCGGCCAAGTAGGCCTCACGGATCGCGTCACGGTCCTGGTCGTACTTATTGGCCCACTGGACAGCTGGCGATGCGGCGTTCAGAATGCTTGGTTGAAGGGTAAAGACACTGCTGGTCTTCTCGGCCATGACTTCGGCATCATTGCGTCCCCGTCTTGTGGCAACCTGAGGTTGCGACTTCTGCTTCTCCTGCATCTGAAGTTGATAGGCAGCGGCCTGGATCTTGGCCTGCTGATCCGGGCCGATGCTCGTCTTGCTAACACCGATAGAACCAGTGGTGTGGCTAGCCTTCAGGTTGCCCTCTGGCTTTTCAAGTGCGTTCTTTCCGGATGTAGACTTTCTCCTGCTGAGGTTCTTGCCACGGCGAGTCCAGCTAAAGAGGCCCTTCTTCTCGGCGATATATGCACCCTCAACAACCTCAGGAGCAGCCCCGCGGACAATCTCCTCCATGACCAGCCAGCGCCCAGCGCGGATAAGAGTCTCGATAACCGCGCAACGGCCAAAGGCCGCTTTCCTCTCAGGAGTCTCCTCAGGAGCCAAACTGCTCATCCATACCCACCAGAAAGCGTCATCGAGGTCGAATCTCGTAATGCTGGCAAGTTCACCTGGCTGCAGAGCGTCTTCGAACCGGGGCTTATGAGATTGAGAGCTCTTTTGACGGACAGTTCCCTCAATGGGCGGGAGAATCTTGTCAGGCGGAAGCAGGATATTGTGAGAGCTGGGGTTCTTGTCTTCGAATCCCGAAGATAGGAAGTCGGCCCAAGAGGGGGTTGTTGGACGTCCGAGATCATCATTAGCTGCAACCTGCGCCTTGATGGCCTTTTCGCGCTTAGCAGCCAAGGTAGCTTCATCGTCGGTGGAATCCTCCTCGATTGTGCCTGAAAAGCCCATGTCCTCGAATCTTGACCACGAAGCATCCCGAAGACTAGTCGAGTGCTTTGAGCTCGAAACGGCCTGGGATTGATTGGCGGCAGAGACCGCTCTAAGGACTCTGCGACACTCCTCAGTCAAAGCCTGGACAGGGTCATCGAACTCGGAGAATTCTCTTAGCGCCTGATCCTCCTCACGATACTGGAAGTGGTTTGCTCGTCGGAGAAGTGCAAATGGCGTAGGCGAAACTGTCTCGACGATCATAGCAACCCTGTGGGTTGACGATTGCAACAACGCCGGTCGCTGCGGCGGGTATTCGGTTTCCTGCAAAAGCTTCTGCAACGATAATGGGAGAGTCGAAATGGCCCCTAGAGTCGGAAGGGGGGCTAAACAACGAAGATAGGCGAAGAACAGATGGCTCGTCGCATCGGCCGCTTTTAGCCACGATTTGTAACCTCCTTCAAAGCCCTGGCCACCGTCATCGTGTTCGAATGCCCACCAAGCTGCCATACGGGAGAGCTTTCGCCCTCCAAAGCCGTTCATTTTACCATGTGCCGCAACCGCCGAGAGTAAGTCGAAGAATTGGAAGATGATTTCGGTTCGGGCCCTATTGTCGACGCTCAACGGGATAAATGTCTTGAAAGAGTCTCTGGCCATGTTGGAATCTTGTTCGCCGACCTTGAACAATTCGTATGAATCCCAACCGACAACACCTCCTTGCAATCGGCTCCAGCACCACTTGATTACACCAGAAATAACCTGTACCACCATCGTCAGCATGTATTATTTCGCGATGAGTTGTCTCGTCGGGAAAGCGCACCATGGGCTCGGTCATGCGCAGCTCCTGCTGGAGTGCCTCTCCGCGGATCGCTGGTCCGCCATTTTGTTTGTCGAAAAAGTGTCGCACAAAGGTGCGAACGGCGCTGGGGTCGGAGGTCGGTCGGAAGGGGAGCAGTAAAAATGGGATATCGAGAGCTGTTCGTTGAGTGAGGTTAGCAATTGAACTGATCGGACAACAGTCGGGATGCACAAGAAATGCACAAGGCACCAGATGCGATGGCATGCACAGGGCGCAAATCGCAAAGGGTAGGTGCAGCATAAGCTAGGCAGTGAACCCCCAGGGGTCCAGGTTGATGTCATACCTCGCGACTTGAGCTCCTCGGTAGAGAGGGTGATCAGCTCGACCACCTCTTCGGGTTCAACGGTTGTGCGAGTCCAGGCGTCGGTCCATTGGGGTCCCTTGGGGAGCTGTGCGGCGAAGGAGTCCACGTCGGCGCCCTTTTTCTTGGACTTGGAGCCGTCCTTGTGTTTGAGGCGGGAGAATAAGCTGGGCATTGTCGTTTACTATTGGGGGTTTGCTGTGTTGTAATTTGTTTGCTAGTCGAGGGTTGCAAGGCGAGACATTCGATGTAAGAGAAGAATAGCCGAATGCGCAATGGGTATCAGGGGCGTATGGGGACGTATGGAGGTCCTCGTCGAGGGTATTGCTGCACCAGCGCAATTGGAAAGAAGAATAAAAAAAGATCCCAAGACAAAACCGACTGGCGATGATGAAATGGAGAAAAAGGTGGGAGAAAGGTAGATGGTATGAGATTTCTCCTCGGGCGCGAAAGTCGAGGTGAGAGATGGGAAAGGACGGCGAGCAATTGGCTGGTCTCGGGGTTTGGGAGTTGGAGAGGCAAGCGGTCAAGGGGGGAATATGGGGACCTATGATGGATCCTGGTCCTGGTTCCGAATGTCTATAAAGTCTCGAGAGGAGCTCCGCCGATTTGTAGGTGACAACCTGACCTCGAGGACTGAGGTTGAGAATGGGAGAGTTGAGGAAGAAAGTGAGGGAAGAAGGTGATTGGGAAGAGACTGGAGAAAAAAAGTACGACGATGGATGGATGGATGACACCGGTGACGAGTGGCAGAGAGAGGACGAGACCGAGACGGGAGCGAGTCTAACGATTAGAGGTAGACAGAAGCTCTTCAGGGGCTCCCATGCAAATGGCTTGGGTTTTTGTGATGCCTGCAGGAAATTTGGTCGTGACGGTAATTAACACCAAGAGCTTGCAGTGCTGTACCTCTACAGATGCACCTCAGTCTGCAGCACATATGTCAGGTACTTGCACCTTATCAAGCAATCACCTTGCCTTACCTTTCCGAGGCTCAAGTTGTTGCTCGCCAGCTCTGGTGGATATCCAAAAAGGAACCTTGAAAACAAAAGGCCTTCAAGTGCCAAACGGTGAGATGGATGGGGAGGATGGCAAAAGGCAGAAAGAGGCCTGTGTTGATTTTGTGTCCACTGTCTCCAGCGTGATGAATTGTACCTGAATGGTGTTTTGGCGTTAGGCGGGATTTGGGCTAGTTCCTGCGTCTAAGTGGCGTTGGTCTGTGCGCGGTGGATACTCTTCGGTGCATGCCGTCCTTGAACGTCTCTTTTCAGGAACGCCATTTCCTCAAAGGGGTCAGACAGTAGTCTCGTAACAACTTGAACCTGCAAGGTGAAGAAGTGCTTACATAAAAAAAAGAGACAAGAGGCTGCACAATTGCAATAATCCCATATGCAGACCGTCTTGATTTTCCAAGGCATGGCACCCCTCTTGGTTATCCTGAAATGAAGGTCTGGTTTGGGTGTAGTCAATCCGGGGCTGAAATGGGCTTGACGGGCTTGACGGGCTTCCTGAAATGACGGCCTAACCCCAACTGGGCGCCCATTTTCTTCTGAAGAGACTTTTGAGCTGATATCACCAACAACCAGTAAGATGAACTGCTGGCGGATGGTGCACCGTGGGGGAAATTGATACGGGGGTGCCTGGGGATCTTCTCCACTTGGTGCCTTCTGCAGCCCAGTTTGTCTCTGGAGTGCAGATTGTGCAGACAGTGACGATGGCGGGGTTTATTTACAACGCCTGTGTCTCGCCTTGGACAGCACTGTTTCGGACCAAGGCTCCAGCTCCACAGCGAGCTTATGAGCATGGACCGATTCCTCCACCTCTCCGTGCAACACTCTTTCACCAAGACATCACCTCAATCAATCTATCCTCGCTTCCAGCTGCTGAGGTTCAACTCGACTGCCGGTCTCGCCCTTCTCCGGAAATATAATTCTCGGCAACCACCCGGGTCACAGATGAAAGCCGAAGCCACATCATCCATATTTTAAAAAGGTGCATGGATGGCAGTTATCGCCTTTTTTGCTTTTCAGACATCAGCCCATCAGCTACGGAATCCTTCAGAGAGGCCGTCTCTCGTCTCCGTCCCCTCTCTCATCCATCTCCCCACGCAACACAGCAGAATCAGGAACAACGACGTACAGCATCAGCAGTACTGCATTCAAATCACAGCATCGGGCGTACCATCGTCCTGCCGTGCGACTGCGAGGGAATCAAGTGGTTTGCCTCCGCGCTTGAAAATTACCGAGTGCTGCTGACTCGCAAGCTGTGACAGACATGTCAAAACTGTCATCCCATCAAGTCATCAGGCCAGTTACAGTTTCGCCTTTCGTTGTTTCCTTCCCCTTACTCCTCTCCTTAGCTCTTTTCTAGCCCATCCGAATATGCCGTTGGCGACGAGATGCTTCTCTTCCCGCTCGCCCCGGATACTTAAAATGCATGAATGAGAAGCTGCCAGCTCATCCGTCACAGGAAACCATCGACTTCGCGCTGCCACTGGTCTGCGAGTGTCGACGATGGACGGTCAGCTTTGAGAATTTTATTGGTCGTTTGTTCTTTTAAACAAGCTACTAACCCCGACTTTGCCGTCCCGAAGCTTCTCTGCGTTGGCATGGCTTTCCTTGTCAGGCACTGGTAATCCTTGTTCAGCCGGCCAATACAGGTCTGCGGAGCCGCTCCTTTGAGGCTATCGCTATGGCTATCAGATACCAATGGGTTGTACCTGTTGTGTTGCATGCGGGAAGACTTCACCCATCTCTTCTTTCCCGGAGGAAGCATGGGCGAAAAGATCTCAGTTTTAACCAAGCTTGAAAGGTATCTTTTCGACATTTCCTCTTTCTTGTTTCCCACGTTTTCCAAGCTCTTGTCCAAAGCTTCTACCTTCTATGGAGACGATATGCAACGACAATCACCTCCGGGTTCAAAAACGCACCAAAAATGCAGGTGTTCGTGCCGCTAGAAGAGCAGCGCTGTCTGGGATTGATTAGCGTTCGCCCGTCCGGCCCCCGTAGCCGCTTGGCTTTTTGCTGCACGCCATTCCCAAGTTCCTGACCGGCCCCGGCAAAACATCACTCGTTCGTTCTCCCTTCTTCCCCGTCGATCCCTGGTGTTCCTTCGGAACCGCTGCGCTGGTAATTATCTCTGCGTTTACTGAAACAGGTTATTGATTGATTGTTCAGGTAACTTCTCTCCTACCATTCACTCAGTGTTATCCTTCCAACCCCACTGAGGTAGGATTCCTGTTTTCCTCGCAACATTTTCCATCCAATCTCTTCTCTGTCGTTGATTCAATGGGCTTTCGAAGAAAAAGCAAGAATTAGCCAATCAAACACCAGGACTGAGCGGGTGACTTACCACTTAGGAACTCCACTGGTTCTTGAGCTTAGAGGATCTACGGCCTAATAACCGAGGCGTCTAGGTGTGTCCCTTGTCGCCTACCCATATGCGTTGTTGATCATGAACAACGTTGAGCCATGGGTCCATGGCTCCAAAGCCTCCATGGAAAAAAAAGCTGGAAAGAGAATATTCCATGGTGTGTACTTCGGGATTTCTTCGCTCTGATCAAAGAGCTGGGTAATCAAGCGACGATCAGTTGTCGGAACACCTTCTTAACCAAATCCAAAGTCAAACACATCAGCGACTTCGATCAGTCGAGCGCTTTTTGCTTCAAAAGAGAGCCATGGAAAAGAGGTCGAGCTTAGAAGTCAGGAACAACTCACTTGCTCGACCCTTTGCCTTTGCCTTGGCAAACACGATCTTGCATCCGAGACAAGGACGCTACACAGGCGTCCCAAACGTCGCTCCTCCACGTTACCAAACCATCGCTTTGCGCAACCTGATGGTCAAAAACTGGATGGATCGGGTGTTAAGAGAAGATCAGTTCTCTCTTCAACGTGAAAACTGCATTGGTTTTTTTTCTGTTTAGTTTTTTGAGTTTGTTAATCAAACTTGACATCAGCAAAGAGCCCATAGGCGACTTCCCACCAAGGTTTGTTTGACAAAGCCAGAACTGCAACCCATGTGTAGCTTCTTCCCTCAAATATTCACTCAAGAAGGGCCCTCAGAGGCGGCCCTCAGAAACGGCTTTGTTCAAAACACGGATTGCTAGTCAACAACTCTAGCCATCGACTGATCACAAGATCTCGGGGGCCCCTGTTCGCACTATTCATTCCAAGACATGCAAAAGCGAACACCCGCTCCTCGTACAACTTGGTCGCCTCTCTTCTGGTCGAGATGACGTGCGTTGTGTATGCGTGTGTGCTACAAGCTCAGTTGTTAGCAGATGGAGGGCAAACAAAGGGAATACCCTAGGAACGGACGATGGCTGTTAGGTTTTCAATTAATGCATAGTTTTTGTTGCTCCTCGAGATTCTTGGGCTGATGCATGCTGGATAATGAGCGTGGCGATTTGGCGTATAGGCTGGATTTGTGCCTAGTTTCTCTCCCCTTTTTCCCTTCCTGTCTCTTCGCGTGATCTTCCTGATACTTATCGTTGGTCTTGTCAATATAAATGCTCTTGGGATAAAGCTAGACCTCAACTCAAGTAGGTGATGCATACGAACAGGCATGTCAAAATGACTCTAGATTCTAAAACCTCCCAGTCCATCAGCATAAGAAAAAATATCGCAAAGAAAGACCTGACAACGTCGTTATATCCACTCCAGAGCGATCTCCATGGCGCTTTATCCGATTCAAAAAGGTGCATCTGGTACAACACTACCTCAGTGATCTCGGCACAACACGAGCCTTTGCACGGGATGCGACACAGCCAGCGATGCCATGCCGGGCACGGACATCCAACTCCTTCCGTAAAGCCCGGCCGGATGTCCCAGTCGTTTCAAATTCCGCCGATGAAAACGTCAGCGCAAGATGGAGTCTATAATCAATCTCGTCCCTGTTCAAACTCATATGAGTTTGAGGAAGGCGGTTGAAGGCGATTTCAGGAAATAACTACTGAACAAGCGAACTCAATTTGATGATGCCAAGGAAAGAACAAAAGATGCAGGCCAACAAGGTCCTCAATCCCCTTCCCACACATCTCCACCACCCCAACTCGGCCGGCAACCTCAAAGCGCCCCGATTTCGGCGGCTTCAGTGACTCCACTACCGCCACGTACCCGGCGGGCCCGCCCAGCTCCAAATCTCCAAATGCGGAGCGGATCCGCTACGGCACCGGTGGGGCCCCCGACTAGGGTCTTCTAGGTCTTAATTGAACGATGACGCCAAAAGCCGCGTCCGTCTTTTAGGGCTCGCTGTTAGAGAAAACGCGGTTTTGCTTTTTAGCGTTGTTTGTCATTGGGAAGACTTCACTTGACAACATCAACATCAGGAAGCAAACGGAAACCTTGGCTTTTTGTCTAACTGGTTTTTTTTTTCAACTTGGGATTGGAATCGCAAGAATCTTCCACTCAAAGGTCGCGCTGGTGAAATTGGAGTCCGACTCGGATTCATCCCGCCGATTCAAAGACATCGTCTCTTTCGACTCTGTCCATCAAGACTTTCTCAGCTTTTGAAATCCTCTTCATCAATCACGGCTCCAAGGAACCCCACGGCCTTTTTTGGGCCATTATCTCAAAATTCGACGACCTTCCTCGGCTCTTTCCACCCACTTAACCTCATCCACAAAGCACCATCTCACACATCCAGAACAATGTCCTCCCTCAAACGCAAAGCCGGCTCCTCCTCCCAGCCTGGCTCTTCCGATGCCAAAAAGCCCAAACAAAACGGCAACATCATGTCCTTCTTCGGAGCCCCCAAGCCCGGCGGTCCTCTTAATTCTTCTCCCACAACCACAGCAACTCGATCGACCACCAGCAGCCAAAGCCAGAGTCAACCCACCAACAGCAACACTGCCTCTAGCTCTAGTGCAATCCCAGACCCAGCAACCGTAACACGTAAATTCAACAAAGAAAAATGGGTAGCCTCCCTCACGCCCGAGCAACGCGAACTGCTGCAGCTGGAAATCGACACCCTTGACGAGAGCTGGCTGGCGCATCTGAAGGAGGAGATTGTTACGAGGGAGTTTCTGGACTTGAAGAGGTTCTTGAAGAGGGAGTGGGAGACGAAGACGGTGTTTCCGCCGAGGGAGGATGTTTATAGTTGGTATGTTCTTTTGCCTCTTTTGCCTTTTCCCTTTCGTTCCCCCCCCCCTTCCCCAAATAAAACTTCCCATCCCTTCTCAAAATTCTTCCCGCCTTTTTTTCCACATAATCAATCACACCATCACTGACTGACTGATTGACTGCTGTACCGTAGGAGCCGCCACACCCCTCTCCCCACAGTCCGCGTCGTTATCCTCGGTCAAGACCCCTACCACAACCACAACCAAGCCCACGGCCTCTCCTTCTCCGTGCGCCCTCCCACGCCCGCTCCTCCTTCCCTTCGTAACATTTTCATCGGCCTTTCGCGGGACTATCCCACAACATTCGCTCCACCCCCCGGCAAGGGCGGGTTATTAACACCCTGGGCCGACCGCGGCGTGTTACTGCTCAACACCTGCTTAACCGTTCGCGCGCACGAAGCTAATTCCCACTCTGGTAAAGGCTGGGAAAAGTTCACGCAACGGGTTATCGACCTTGTCAACGAGAGACAAAAAAGGGGCGTGGTGTTCATGGCGTGGGGAGCACCTGCTGGAAAAAGGGTGAGTAGGGTGGATGGGAAGAGACATTTGGTGCTGAGGAGCGTGCATCCTAGTCCGTTGAGTGCGCATCGGGGGTTTTTTGAGGGAGGGCATTTTAGGAAGGCTAATGAGTGGTTGGAAACGAAATATGGAAGGGAGGGGAGGGTGGATTGGAGTTTGGTTGAGGGGAGGAGTGTTTTTGATGATGCGGTGGAGGCCAATGGAAAAGAAGAGGGGGGGAAGGGGAAGGATGAGAAGGAAGTGAAGGGGGGAGATGACGATGATGAGTTCGAAGGTGGAGAAATCTTTGATGAGGAGGGGTTGAAGGAGGTTGAGGCTGTTGTTGAAAAGGTTGAGACGCAGGAGGAGGATGGTGGAAAGGAGGAGATGAAAACGGAGTTGGTGGTGAAGAAGAAGGGGGACGAAGAGGAGGGAGGTGATGAGAATGCTGTTCCTGATGAGGAGCGGACCGACAAGATGGAGGAGTGATGGTTGGAAGGTCGAAAGGGTCATTGGCTTGCACATATTTGTATGTGAAGGCTGCGTTACACATGTTGCCTATACGCACGCGGTTGCTGTGTTACAAGAAGCCTTGTTTCTATTGGACATGGGTCAAGGGTACTATATGCTTCTGTTCTTCGGGGTCGGTGTTCGGAGTTTGTGTCATTATTGTTCTTAGGTTTGGCTCGAATGACTTTACGTAGAGCATCGGGATAACAAGACGCTCGTCATAGCTCAGCTCAAAAGGCAAAACATGGAGACAACCAAAGCCGTAATGACGAAACCATGTAAATAGAATAAAAATTCATAATATGTACCAGCACCTTTCTAATGCTACTAGAGGGTCATAATAGACAACAAGCTCTTTGTATCATCGATCTTCCACACCCACTACAATAAAAACCATCTCATACCACACTATCACCACTCCTAATTACCTTCAACCCTTACCCAGTCTAGACCTAACAGGGCAACTCACCCCTTCCAAGCCAACCACCCAAAAACCGCCACAACCATCCACGCCACCCTCCAAACCGTCGTCCACAATTCCGTCACCACCACGCCCATGGCCGTCTTCGGCTTCGGTTTTTTTCTGTTTTGCTTCGCCCTCCACTTCGACCCTGCTGTGGACGCACCATAATACATATCCTCCTCTTCCTCTCCAGGAATCTGTATCCTCGGCTCATGATGATGATGCTTGCCTCCCCATGACCACCCTTTGGTAGACTTATTACTATTACTGTAAACGCTTGATTTCCTACTCCTTCCACTCTTTTCGGTGTGACCACCATTTCTAGGGCTGGTTTTTCGTAGTGACGAGCTCACGGACCCCGTCCGAGTTCGTCGTTCTCCCGAGGTGGCTGAGGAGCCATACTTCGATGAAGAGGCGGAGAAGCCGGCTGAAGGAAAATTGTATTCGTCGTAATCCTCCTGCTTGGCCTTGAAGACGGGGAGGATGCTAATCCCGCTCGCCGCGTGGCTATCGGCATCGAGATCGAGGGCGAATTTGGGTAAGTTGAGGACGGGCACCAAGAAAGCGCGAATGGCGAGGAGGATGATGCAGAAGATTCCCAGGCCGACGTAGTGCAGGTAGGTGCTGATTTGGTTCGGAAGCAAGCAGAGATGGGTTTGGATCGTCGGTTGACCGTCACCTGCTAGGGGCTTGCCGGTGACTGGGTCGAGCGGGTTGTATAAACTGACCATTTGGAAACCGGGAGTAGGGATGCCCATGGCCATGCTGATGGATTTGACGGTGATTTCGCGGACGGAGCCTTGGTTGGGCGCGTGCACTACTTCGCAGTAGTCGTGGTCGTCGCCAGAGAAGGCGTGGATGACATTGCCGATTTTCTCGATTAGGCTTACGGACTGCTTCTCGTCGATGACGTTCTGGTATTGGTACCCACGATACACAGAGATGGCGTTGCGGTGGTCGGGGAACACGGGCTCGGTCTGGCCTTTGGGTGGTGGTGTGGGCGGCCAGTGCTCGCGGTTCGGGCCACATGGGGTGCCGGGTGGTCGGTAGAGCGGTACGTGGGTAAGAAGGATGGTCGGAAGGTCGGGGATCTTCTTGCTGTTGTCGTCGTTGACAAGACGCGGTTGGTCCTTGAAGTTGGCCTTGTTCAGCTCCTCGATTCGGTGGTGCAGCTTAACCTCGGGAACCTCTCCTCTCAGATACCGTAGCTCCTTCTCCACAGCCTTCTGCTTCGTCCACTTCACCTGGTTGATGAAGTGTTCCGTCGGTTTGTAAATGGGCTGCACATCCTGCCTGGCAACCTCCGACAAGCTAGCGGCACTCATCGACACCGTATCCACCGAAACGAACGTATGGTTTCCAACAACATCCACGCGGTTGCCCTCGCCAAAGTACGCCTCGAACCTGTTCCTCACGGGAAGCTTAATCTCAGCTCCAAAACCCAAGTCGTGGTTCCCGGGTAAACTGGCAATTAGTTTCCTCCTCTTCTGCTCGTTCTCCGGCTTCTGTCCCGCCTCCAGCCACGGACTGAAGAAGATCTCGCCGAACCTCGCGTACTCCTTCAACCAGTAAACCTCATTGTACTTCTTATTCCAGCTCTTCAAGTACTTCTGCTCGTCTTTCGGGTGCGGACCCCACTCCGGGTCTCTAAAGTCTCCATGTGCTGTCTTCCACTCCCGTCCGCCGTCGAAAAGATCGCCCAGGAAGAATATCGTATCGGGATCGAGCTGGGATTGCATCTGCGTGTAGGATCGGCGGATGTAGTTATCGACAATCGTCATCGTCAACGGGTTCAGCGGCCACGGTCGGCCGGGGTACGAATGGGGGTCGATGAGCTGGGGATCGGCCACCAGAACGAGGTGGTGAGGTTCTGCGCCGGCGGGCTGTTGTCACATTACATTAGCTTTCCCACCCATGTCCACAGTCCACGAACACCAGGTACAAAGGACTTACCCATTTCTCCCACTTTTCCCATGCACACTCTTCCACCGCCGAATGAAACACCCATCTCTCGCCCCAAAGCAAGACCACTATCCAGGCAGCCACCAACAGATGCGGGAAGCTGAACAATCGGTTATACGTCAGATTCAGTCGTAGCCTCCGCCCGGCATCGACGATGGCTGCCCAAGCCATGAAACGACCGCGTTCCCTCCAGAAGCGCCAGGCGGAGCGGGACGAGTGGGCGAGAAAAGCGCGGATGTCGTCGAGAACGGAGGTTGAATCGGAGCGGCGGTGTTTGGGTTGGAATGTGTAGGAAGAGGAACTGTAGCCGTAGCCCCCGTTGCTACTACTATACGATGGCGCCATGATGGGGTGTCTGTGTGGCCATTCCCGGTTTGCTGTTGTGTTGGAAAAGCTGTGTTTTGTTTCTGGGAGGAGGTCGGAGTTTGGATGCCAAAGAATGAAACGACGGGAAACGAAACGTGGCAAGGCTTCGTTGTTCACTGCAGTTGTTGAATGCGATGTGCGCAATTCAGGGGTGTCGGTTTCCCACTTGCAGTGGAAATGGAGCTGCCTTGTTAGAGCCGCGGGAGAGTGGAATTGTGGATTCCTGCGTCTCTGCTATGGTGGAGTATGTCGTGTTAAGGCTTCCTCAGATCAGTGGGTATCGAGGCCCGACTCCACTATCAATCTTTAATGACGATGTTGAAAGCAATATCGAATTTCAAAGGAGTTGGAATCACGAAATCACAGGATAAGAAGGATTGTTGTTGTTTATGGAGACATTGACACTTCAGCCGTCGCTCGCCAACGAGGCCAAGTCCCCGCCCACACTCCAGCCTCCCGTCCATCCAGCCTCTCTCGGCTTAAGCGGGGCCGCCTGAATGACCACTCAGGAGTCAGGAACAAGATCCAATATTCAAGACATGACAACAGCCAACAAAAAAACTACCCGACTGCGGCGTCCGGAGCATAAAAAGAGGAACAACTGACATTGTCAAAATATGAAAATATGTAACGAAAAATAAAGCAAAAAGGTCAACCGACCATGTTCGGAGTTGAACTGAAGCGTTCACCCGGAACAAGGCAGAGGCTGAAGAAAACACCACGCATTTTCTGGACCCAACGCGCTAACCGTGTAGGCTACTGGACTGTGATGGAAAGTCAATGTTGTGGTACTCATATACCTATGGTCACGAGAGATTCGAAACCAAACGAAGCCGAACCAGACCAAATAAACCAAACCAACTAAACTACACCAACACTGCGATGTCAAAAAATATGGAATGTTTAGGTCGGGAAGCATATACAGACAATCTCGACGTCTTTAAAAGCGGTGGGTTATAGTTCGATTGGAAGTTGGTTGGTCGGTGGGTGCAAGTGTTAGTGTTTCCACCTACTTCCAAGCAAATCATTAACAAAACCGTACCTCTAGAGGTGCCCATGTCTCCAGCTCCAGATTACAGCGCTGTTAAGGATTTGCTATGAACAACAAGGAAGCACTAACACTTGCACCAATTAACAAAACCATAACCATAACCCACCAGTTTTAAGACAAGCGACAGAAGCGAGAGTTGAAACCCCCTTCACTCAACCAAACCCCGAAACAATGGGTATCTATCATGAGTATTTTCAGAGTCCTTTCAATGTTACCTCATTGTCCTCAATCCAAACGTGCATGTGATGATGCTGTTATCGATAAACCCACATATTGAGCAACACAGTTCAGGTGAGCCAGGGTAACGACAGTCGTCCGACAAGCGACACCAACGGCCTCCCCCCCCCCCCCGATTCTCGCCCACTTCCCGGCCATCCGGCACGTCTTCCAAGGGACCGAATACGCCGATTGCATACTCACATTTTCACATTCCGAGATTTTCTGCCTACCCCAATTGCCCTGTTCAGCTGAGCTACATAGAGATCCGGACGATCGGATCTGAATTCGTACCACACCGTCACGGAAGGAGGCTCCCGAAGAACGTGGTCATGGGGTTACCCTGCATTTTGTTGTGGTGTGGTAGGTCCTTTTGAAGGAAGTACCTACATATACACACCCTTTGCGAAAGCGATTCAATGCCCCATCTTCAACCTTCCAAGGTTGAGTCAGGCTCGTAGTAGTGTGGGCAAGGGGGGAGTGGTAGGTAAGTAAGGTATGTTTAGATTTTGATCGAGCTATCATGTGTACAATGTGCTCATTCTAAGGTAAGCAAATGAGGGAAAGTATGGACAATGAAGAATGTATGTAAGAGAGGAAAGACAAAAGCGGATAGAGAGTTAAGCAAAAGCAGATTGAACAAGGGAGCATCGCGATTGACGATGATGAGATGGATAAAAAAAGGGAAAAGAGAAAATGAAACGCAATGGTGATATTCCATCACCATTCAAGAGACGTATATTACAAATGCCAGAAGCATTCAGTCATTATCAGGACATCATAGATTTGGTATCGCAAGCTTCTACCCGGACTTAAAAGATCCAAGTAAAAGTCTGCTTAACCTCAAACGGCACGGAATACCTATTATCATCGCGTTAGTATCATCATCACCCCCCTAAATCACCACCGCAACACACGGAAAGGAGTACTCACTTAATATCCCCACTACTCGGTCCCACCAAGACCAAAAACCTTCCTTCCTCCGCGACCCACGCCTTCCTCTCCGTATCATAATACCCCACGGCATACTTATCCAGTTCAATCCTCAAATGCCTCGTCTCGCTCTTTTCCAACTGCAATTTCTCAAAAGCGACCAACTCCTTCTCCGGCCTCGGCAATCTAGACTTTTCATCGCGGACATATACCTGCACCGTCTCCGCGCCGTCGTACTCACCCACATTGGTGATAGCCACGCACAGCTCGATAACGCCGTTTTGCGTCAGCACGCGGCTGGACAGCGAAGGACGGCCGTACTCGAATGATGTATAAGAAAGACCGTGGCCGAAGGGGAAAAGCGGCGCGATCTTGGACCGGTCGTAGTGTCTGTAGCCGATGTAGATACCTTCACCATAGATAACCTCGAGGTTTTCGCCGGGCCAGTTATGATACGCGGGTGTATCTTCGAGGCGTTTGGGGAATGTGCAGGGAAGTTTACCAGACGGGTTACGCAGGCCGAAGAGGACGTCCGCTAGGGCATTACCTGCTTCCTGGCCTTGGTACCACGCTTGCAGGATGGTAGGGACGCGATCAGCCCAGGGCATGGTCACCGGCGAACCGGACTGGTTGACGATGACGGTGTTGGGGTTAGCTTTGACGACAGCTTCAACAAGACGGTCTTGCGAGCCGTTGTAGGGCAGATCCATGGTTTGGCGGTCATAACCCTCGGATTCCCACTCGGCGTCAAGGCCGACGACGACGATGGCCACGTCGGCGGCGGAGGCGGCGTCGATGGCTTCTTGTAGGTAGTCGACTTGGTCTTCCTCTTTGAAGCCAATGCGGCAGCCGCCGTAGCGGTGCGTCATGCCCATTTGCTTTTGCTTGGTGAGGGGGCGGAGCTCGTTGGTCATTTCGATGCGGAGTTCGACGGGACGGTTGGCGTCCATTTCGACTTCGACGAGGTAGTCGACCGAGCCGTCAAACATGGCTTCACCTTCTTCGGTCCAGTCCCAGAGGTCGAGGGAGAGCTTGCCGTTGATGTAAAGCTTGCCGGGGCCGACGGACATGTAGGAGATGGTGTGCTTGCCGGAGTGCTTGGGGGTGAGGTAGGTGGTGGCGACGGCGGACCATTCGGGGCCGGTCTGGGCGAGGGGTGCAGAGTCCCAGAGGAAGAGATCGGTGTTGGTTCGTCGTTGGATGGTCACGGGCTCGCCCTTGAACTTGTCGCCCTTGAACCACTCGATGGTGACGCCGGGCTTGCCAGTCTTGTCGGAGCAGTAAGGAGAGGCAACAGGGAGCCACTTGTAGATGTGGCAGCCTTGGGCATAGGTGACAGGCTTCTCGGCGACCTTGCGGATGCTTTCAAGGGGAAGGGTGGTGTAGTAGGGGTTCAAGCTGGCACTTCCACCACCTCCAGCGATAGCTCGGTTGGCGTTGGGTCCGATGACGGCAACCTTGGTGGTCTTGGGGTTGATAGGCAGAATCGAGCCTTCATTCTTCAGAAGGGTGAGACCCTGGATACCAGCCTCACGGATCAGCTCCCGGGTTTCCTCTCTGTCGTCTTCCTTCTCAGCGGTTTCGGGTGTCAGATCGCTTCCCTTTGTGCGCTCGACAAGAGTGAGGACGTTCTCAGCCGCTCTGTCAATATCAGCCTGGGATAGTTCGCCCTTGTTCAGGGCCTCGATGACATTCTCATAACGCCATTTCTTGGAGTGGGGGAACTCGATATCGCAACCGGCCTTGATGGACTCGGCAGTGGAGTTGACACCGCCCCAGTCGGAGATGACGGCGCTGTGTCGGTGTTAGTGATTCATTCGAGTACCAGGACAACGATGGTCACTCACCCATCAAACTTCCACTCATCCCGAAGAACCTCCTTCAAGGTGTGAGTGTTCATGTCAGCGTGCACCCCATTTACGAGGTTGTATGAAGACATGACAGCCCATGGCTTGGCCTCGCGGACGGCAATCTCAAACGGACGCAGGTAAATCTCTCGGAGTGGCCTTTCGGCAATCACGGAGTTGACTGTCAACCTGTTCGTTTCTTGCTCGTTGCCAACAAAGTCTTTCATATGTCAGCTTTGCATCTCCACGGATCCATAGATGACACTCACGCTTAATGGTAGCAGCCACGCCATTCTCCTGAAGACCCTTGATGTACTGAGCGGCAAGTTTGCCAGTGAGAAGAGGATCCTCAGAGAAAGACTCAAAGTTCCTTCCTCCCAAGGGATGTCTATGCATGCAGACCGTGGGCGCGAGGAGAATGTTGGCCTGGCGAGCCTTTGCTTCTTCGGCTAAATGACGGCCTACTTCGCGGAGAAGGGCCTTGTTCCATGTAGCGGCCAGTGAGATACCGCAGGGAAATAACGCAGCCTGTTGTTAAGGATTAGCATCATGTCGAAATTGTCAACTTGATCGCTGTGAACTCACCTTGGTACCGCCAACAAAGATACCGCCTCGAGCGCCGTTGGGACCATCACTCGTTTTCACTGCAGGGATGTTCTTTTCCGGAATCGACTTTGTCCTCCAGAAGTCTGCGGCAGTTAGGAGGGAAATCTGGATCTGTTAGCTTATGGTCTTTCCTATAAGAATAATATGTCGACTGCCTACCTTCTCCTCCTGTGTCAGGCTTGCCAGCTTCTTCTTAGCCAGGAACCTCTTGTTCTTCGGGACAGCTACCTCCTGGAACGGGCTTCCCATGGGTGAGAACTCGGTATCGGGAGTGGTGTTGCTGTCGATGCTCTCGGAAGGGGAGGCATTCGGGTCAATATCCCGCT